GGCTTCCAACCTCAGCCTGCGTCCTCCTGGCCAGGAGGGGCTGAAACCCCCCCCCCCCCCCCCCTTGCCTTGGAACCATCTTGGCTATACCCCTCCCCACCCTCGTTCCCAAGGAGCGCAACTCCTCATATCGGGGGATTCTTCCTATGTTGCTGCAAAGGAAGGTTCTTTTTTTGGGGGGGTGAGTCTTTACTGGACGTCCCACACAGAGAGGTTCCCCACGTTTCCCCCCCTCACTAATGCAGGGGTGGTCTGTGGGTGTGGCTAAGTTGGTGGGCGTAGCTTGGTGGTCATATCATTGGCTGGGTGTGGCCAACTCAATATCACTCACATCGAGGCACGCATCTCCTCACCTGGCCTCTCATGACTGTAGGGATGCTGCAACAGTCGTAAGTGTGGAAAACGGTCATAAGTCACTTTTTTTCAGTGCCATTGTAACTTTGAATGGTCGTTCCACACAAGCAAAGCACCAGCAAAGGAAGGGGAAAAAACTCCAGAGAAGTTCCTGAGACAGGAAGTCTAGTCCTGCCCAGAATGTAATAAGGGTTAATGGAGAGGCAGTTTCTGTAAGCAACACCAGAATGTTTCCTTCCTGCCTTCCTTACAGGATTAGGCCAGTCATTTCTTCCAACAACCGATTGTCCGAACTGCTTAGAATGTTAACTGGTTCTAGCGAATAGGTGTGAACTGGTAGAATCCCACCCCTGCACTAATGGGTTTCTGCTACTAAGCATTTTAAGTTTAGATCCAAACATTATGAAAGATTTTACATCTTAGAATAGCTCTGTGCTTTCTTTCTGAAGTTTCTTTAACAGTATTTATTGTTTGGTTAAGTCATTCAGGAAACTTTTGTGAAAGGGTGGTTTAAATAGCCAACTGATCATAGCAGCTCAGCTGCCTGTGTTGAAGGGGCACACACACACACACACATACACACACATGTCCCCTGCTGGGCCAGCAAGTTGCTCCCTCATCCCTTGACTCTCTTCTTTCTCCCCCCCCCCCCCCAAATGTCACAGGTGAAGAGAGGAGGATCCGGGAATTCTACCAGTCCCGAGGGCTGGAGCGGGGCAGCCAGGCCGGCCATGAAGGTAAGGCTTTGCCCTCCCCCTGCAACAGCAAGGGGGGGATTTGGGTGGGCCAGAGCCCATTGGCTGACAGCCTGCCTGCCTGCCTTCCATCCCAGACCCTGCCTCGGACCGCGTGGGCCTGCCCTACACCACCTTCGACCATTCCCGCGCTCATTATTACCGCTTCGACGAGCATGTGACGCTCTGCCTGGAGAAGCAAAGGTGAGGAAGGGGAGGCCAAATCGGGCTATGGGGGGGGGGGGCAGGACTGGTCCCCTGGGGCTGCAGCGGCCAGGGAGAGAGCAGCGGCCAGAGAAGTGGCCGCTGGCACTGCTGCCCAGGAGCCTCCGTAGTGGGGAAGGGAAGGGGATGGAGCATCCTGCGCCCAATGAGTCCTCGGGGATTCGCCTCACTGCTTCCTTGCAAAGGCAGGGCGAGCCTTTTGGGGAAGCGCTTTGTGGGGAGGGGCTGGCAGGGGGGCTTCCTCCCTCTGGGTGGCTGAGCTGCTCCCTCCCTTTCGAGGTGGGGCCGGATTCAGCCTCTCCTGTCTTCTCCCCTTGCAGCACCTCTGGGAAGGAGAAGAGCAAACACGTCCTGCAGGTGAGGAAGGCACCTGGAGCTTTCTGGGGGTGTTTTCTGGCCCTTTCTTGCCACCCTGGGCCCTCTTCCCATGTGGGCGCCTCCCGGTCTGGGAAAGGGGAGGGGGCTGGTGGGTCCTTCCCCCCCTTTCCCAACTTTCTGGGCCAAAAGAGCCTTGAAACTATGGGAGGCCCTGCAAAAGGGCTGAGCGTCTCCTCGTCCTGCCGGCTTCATCATTCCCTTCTCTGTCTCCCTCACACACCCCCTCCCCACCCACCCAACCACCCACCCCCACAGCAAAAGTACGTCCGCTGCTCCGTGAGGGCCCAGATCCGCCACCTCCGCCGGGTTTTGTGTTACCGACTGGAGCTGGCCTTGCAATACGTGAGTCAGGGTCCCACTCGGTCCGGGGGCGGGGGGGGGGGGGGGGGGGGGGGGCGGGGCGGGGGGGGGGGGGGGGGGGCTTTCTGGGCCCTCGCTAATTTCTGGGCGTGCTGGGGGCCTCTCACCCCCAGGTGCAGATCCTGTTTGACAACGAGGTGCTTCCGGATCACCTGACGCTGAAGCAACTTTGGCTCAGCCGCTGGTTTGGCAAGGTGGGGGCACGTTCCCGGGGGGGTGTGTGTGGCTGCCCTCTTCCCTTCCCAGGCAGGCAGAGCCCTCAACACGCCTCTCTTTGTCTTCCAGCCGGCCCCGCTGCACCTGAACTACAGTGTGAAGGAGAAGAGGAGGTAGGGGGGGGGCGCGATGGACCGTGATGTCCCCCTTTCCCAGAGCTGGTCCCCCTCCCCTTCCCCAGCCCTTTAATTTAAGGATCTTTGCTCTTGCACGGGCGTTTATTTTTGTAATAAAAAAAAATGGCCTTCTGGGCTCCAGCGGTTGGCTCTCCTTGAATTTCTTTTGGGGGAGGGGGGAACGGGGGGGGGGGGAGCTGCTGAAGCTAAAGCTGCAGTTCTCCAGACTGGCCAGCCGGGGGCAGGCCCACTCCTTGCCCACTCTGGCATGGAAGAGGGATTCCTTTCTCACCCCGGGGTGGTGGTGGTTTAATACGCCTTAGCTAAGGCCTCTTTACCGAGGGGCAGTTGCAGTGGTGGGATTCGAAATGTACTGCTATCGAGGTTCTGTGGGTGTGGCTTGGTGGGCGTGGCATAGCTTGTGGGCGTGGGCATGGCAGAGGAAAGTTACTGCAAAAAAATCTCCATTCCCACCCCACCCCCACTCACCTGCTTTCCAGCTCCGCTCTCCTGTGCAGGAGAACCAAAGGAGACCCAGCAGCCGATCAGCTGGGACTCAGTGGGAGGCAGAGAAGAGATAGTGGGTGGGATTTGCCGGTTCTCCAAACTACTGCAAATTTCCGCTACCGGTTCTCTCCAGAACTGGTCAGGACCTGCTGGATGCCACCTCTGCTGTGGCACAGTCCTGCAGCTGGACAGGAGAAGTTGCTGTGTTTGGCCAGAGGCTGCAAACATCCCATGCGCGCCCCCCCGCCTCCATTTTCCTAATTGTGTACTGTAGCTTTTTTCCTTGAGTGTCTGGTCAAGCTGCCCCACCTGCACGGCAAGACACGGAGGACTTTGAGGGCAGGAGATCTTTCCTTCACACAGAGGTGGCTGACCTGTGTGAGAACTCTGCTTGGCTCCCTCCCAGCCACCTGGATCTTGCTTCCCAGAGTGGGGGGGGCAGGGCTGGCCCCCCCCCTTCCTTTGGGGGGGGGGGGGGGGGGGGGGGGGGGCTTCTGCCACCGCTATCTGCCACTCCTGCCCCCGAAGGCCCTTTTGGCCTGGCAGCCGCTTTAGGCAGGGATCTGGTTTCCTGCCAAGGCCAGCTGTTGCAATTTCTCACACTGACCCAGAGAGCCCTTGGGGTGGGCTGCTGCTCCCCCCCCCTTCCCCCCTCCCTTGCTAAGGAGCTGGTGAAATGATGGGAATGGGGTCTTATGTGGGGCTTTGCATCTCGCAAGCTGAGGAGTCTGCCTGGTTTTTGAGGGACCCTTTTAGGTTTATTGCTAAAAGAGGCCAGGAAGAATTTTGTACATGCTCAGGGATAGTCTTGGGTTTTCTTGGATTGGAAATGTTTCCTTTCTCTCCCCCCCCCCTTTTTTTTTTCCTGGAATGTGCGCTAAGGAGGTGAAACACACACACACACACAGAGAGACAGAGAGGGACAGAGAGAGACAGAGAGACGGTCATGCTCCGGCCTGCTAATAGCAGGAGGCTCCAGGGGGTAATCCGAGCCGGCTCTCTTCGTCTCCGCGGAGCAGCCTGTGGCGGGAGGGGGCATTGACATGGGAGGCTGCGTGCTTCCCAGTGCAAAGCTGCCAGGGGTGGCCGGGCCCGGGACAGCTGCCACAGCACACCCGACCACATGTCGGCAGGTGCACGCCGGCCGCCGCTGTTGTCCCTGCGGGCTACTGCAGAAATCCCCCACCTCTAACCCTAGAGACTCTGCTGCGAGTTGAACTTTCAACGACGCGCACGCACACAAACACACATCCGCCCGGCGCGCGGGGAGCAGGTTGGGCTGGCTTAGTTTGGCTTAGCGAAGCCTCGTCTCAGCCCCAGGCGGTAATTGACTCGTCCCGTCGGCGGTATTGCGGCCCTTTCTCTGCGACCCTCGGCTGCCCGCCAAGAACAAGGGTCCCCAAACATGGGCACTTTAAGACTTGTGGACTTCAACTCCCAGAATTCTCCAGCCAGCTAAGCTAAACTAAGCTAAGCTATGCTATGCTATATGCTATGCTATATGCTATGCTATATGCTATGCTATATGCTATGCTATGCTATATGCTATGCTATATGCTATGCTATATGCTATATGCTATATGCTATATGCTATGCTATGCTATATGCTATGCTATATGCTGGCTGGAGAATTCTGGGAGTTGAAGTCCACAAGTCTTTAAGTGGTCACGTTTGGGGACCCCTGCTGCCCCAACAGAACAGACCTGAAAGGGCAAAAGAGGATCCTGCCTGGTGAGGCTTTGGGGTTTCAAGAAGCATCTGAGAGCTCCCCGTGCCCAGAGTAGCTCAGGAGCCAGGAGGGGGTGGCCATGACCTGTACTGGGACTGAGGAGACCCCCAGGCCACTCCCTTCAACCATTTGATGGCAGGTAGGATCTGCAGAGTTGCAAAAGGGGTACAAAAACAAACAACTCGGTTGCAGAGAGAGGCTAATGCCGAGATGTACAGCCGGCTGGCTGGAGAATTCTGGGAGTTGAAGTCCACAAGTCTTAAAATGGCCAAGTTTGGAGACCCCTGGCCAAGAACAACCCCCACCCCCGCCGGTTTACGGAGAGCCTCAGCTTTCCGGAGTCGTCCGAACCGAGAAACCGGGCCCTACTCTTCGCCCGGCTTTTTGTCAAACAGCACAGCCCCGCCACCACCACCCCGCCCGTGACTCCATCCTTCCCGCCCACGCGGAGAGTTTTCTAAGTCGGTGCCGGTTCCGGGGTCTCTCCTCCGCCACCGCTGCCTCCTCCCCCCCCCTCCCCGACGCGGCCCTCCCTGCTCCGGTTCTCGGCCTCTTGCTTGCCGGAAAGCCGCCGGAGCTGCGGGCGCAGTTGCCAGCGTAGATGGGAAAGAGGAGGAGGAGGAAGAGGAGGAGATGCAGCCCAGAGGAAGGGGGCGGGGGGGGGGGGAGTCGGATCCCGCGTTCGGGGCTCAACGCAGCGCGAAAGCTCCTAGCTCCGTCCTGCCGTCGTCGTCGTCCCCCGTTTCCCCCACCACCACCACCGTGCGCAGGAGATCCTTCTGCAAAGGAAATGGGGTGGATTGCAAGGGTCCCCAAACTTGGTGACTTGAAGACTTCATCTCCCGCATGGGCGGGAAGGGTGGAGCACAGCTGAGGTGGAAGATCAGCAGCTGGCGGCCCCATAGCCAAAGTGCCGGGGTGGGGGGAGGAGCTTCCCCGTGGGGCTCCTGTCTGTAGCTCCGCCCTTTCCTCGAGGAGCAGCTGCTGACTGCGGAGTGGTGCCTTCGGAGCTGGCATTCCTGAAGTCACGCGCGCGCGCGCCCACACACACACACACGTGGTTCCTCTAACAATTGACTTAGCCAGCTGAAGATTTCACTTAATCCTGAAGAGTTGCACACGTGCCAGTGGAAAACTGGAAAACGGCTGGACTCCTCTCCAAGAGCATTCGGGTCGATGCTCCTGCAAGGGGAAATCCCTGCTCGGTGGAGGTGTCGTCGTCCCAGGAAGTCCTGGAGGGGAAGGGAAGCTACTTGGATGGCAACGGGTCCTTTGGGATGCTAGGAAAGGGGACCCCCAAAGCCCCTTCTCTCCCTGCTTTTCCTGCCCGCAGCAGTTGGCACTTTCTGAAGCCCCGGCGGGGAGGGGGAGGGTGGCTGTTGGACCCGGATCAGGTCCGAACCTTTGAGGATGTAACAACATGAGTCAGTGAGTTCCAGGCATTGTCCACTCTGGTCAATAGTAAGCACTGACCACCAGCTCTCAGGGCAAGGAGGCTACCACAGCTCCGTGCACAAACAAAACGAGGCTTTTGTTTATTTTATTTGTCAAGCAAGTATTAGATAACAGGTATAAGTATAAGCATGGTTATGAATACATGAAATGGATACGAATTAAAACAACCACAGGACGGGGACGGTAGGCACGTTGGTGCACTTATGCACGCCCCTACAGACCTCTTAGGAAAGGGGGGAGGTCGCTGGAGGCTGAGGCTCCCAGAAGCAGCCCCACAACGCCCATGTTGGGGGGAGCTGCATCTACGTGCTGCCATCCTCATTGCTTGGGGGCTGCGGATGAGCGCTGGGAACAAGCCTGACTCATTCCGCCTGTCTAGTCTTGCAGCTTCCCCACTTCCCTAGCCCCCCCCCCCCCCCCCCCCCCAGGGAGTCTGGTGCTGCGAGGACAGGAAGAGCCCAGTGCTGGGCTTTCTGCCCGCTTCCGGGAGGATGCTGCTCACAGATGCCGGCGCCGTCTCTTCTGGCTCCCGGTGCTTCGTTTCTCCATGATCTGCGCTGCCCAGGAGGACGGGAGGGGTGAGGGTGGGGGGCAGGATCAGGAAGCCGCTCGAGCCAGTCCCGTGTCCGAAGACTTGGCAAGTGGACCTGCTAACCCAGCCCTGCTGTGCGTTCCTGGCCAGGAGCCTGCAGGAGAAGCGGAGGGCTTCAAAGGAGCCAGACGTATTTCATGGATGTGTCCCCAGTGGCATGGCAGCAGCAGGAGGACGAGGAGGAGGAGGAGGAGGAGGAGGAGGAGGAGGGGGGGAGGAGGGGGGGGGGGGGAGGAGGAGGGGGGGGGGGGGGGAGGGGGGGGGGGGGGGGGGGGGGGGGGGGGGGGGGGGGCCCGGGGGGGGGGGGGGGGGAGTAGTGTCAGCTGCCCCCTGCTTTTTTTCCGTGCTGGCAAGGCCTTTCCTGCTTTTGTGAGTTTTATCTTGGTCAGCAAAGTTTCCTTCAGGAATTCAGCCATGCGGTGCCTGCCTTCCTTGTTTGGGAGGTACAACCCTTGCTCAGTCGGGGGTGGTGGGAGGGAGGGTCTTCAACAAGGCCATTCAGACCTACTGCAAAAAAAAAGGTAGATACACTCGAATCAGGGGGTCCCCAAACTTGGCAACACCTTAAGACTTGCGGACTTCAACTCCTAGCATTCTCCAGCCAGCATAGCTCGGCAAATCTCGGCCTTAGCATCTCTCTGCGACGAGCAGAGTTGAGGCGTCAACCCCGCGCGGGAGAGCGCCTTGTCGGGCGGAGGGGCTCCTTCTGGGCAGCGGGAGGAGGAGAGCCCCGCGTCTCCCGGCCGCCGTTCCCCCTCCCCCCCCTCCGGAGCTGGCCCGGCGGCGCGCAGAAACAGCGCTTCCTTGCCCGATCTGGGGGTCCGGAGGAAGGGGCAGCGCCAGGTAGCTCTGGTCGGGGCCAGCCCA